TGAATCTTTTTGTTTATAATTTATAAAAAGATATAACATATCTATAAACAACGGCAACAACAACAACAAAAGTGTTTACTACAAATCATGAATCTATCTGATCCTCGCTGGGAGTTAATGAAGATATAAATCCCTTTTCTCTTCTCGAGTAGCCTAGTTACTTAAGCGAGTGTGTGTTTTCGTGCGTGTGACGAGATAAACACATGCTAGAGCGTGTGCGTACCTGTGTAAGTAGACCAACAAAGGAAAGAACAAGAAAACACATACGAATATGCAGAAGGCCTTTTCTTTGCCCCCCTGAAAAGGTCTTTGGCATATTCGCGTGTTTTCTGGTTCTCCCCTTTATCTACTTGGAATTTGTTCAACATGAATCCTACAAGCGTGTTTCTGCGCAAGTGCCTGCGACCGCAAACAGGGGCTTACCTTTTCTACTTCCTGGAGCTTCTCGCGCAGACTAGTCACTTCCTTTACCAAGTGATTCTTCTTTTCTGCAACCGAAGGAGTTCATTAAAAACGGCATGGTTTTCCTTGCCATGATGCGCAAACGCTTTTGCTTCCTTAGTGCACCATATATGCCAAAATGCCGATGATAGGTTTCATCAAATAGAAAAGTTTTTATATAAAGATATCTATATGTTGGAACTATTAACAGTATATTTTTTCCATGACTGTGACTAAAATACACGTTGAAATGACTATGTTGTACAAAGCATATTATTCTCCCCATCCAAAAAATCAAGTGAACATTCAAAATTCCTTTTACTCATGTTTATTTAGTCCGTTTAATTCTAAAGTGATAATTTCAACTGTTAACCCAAATGCGCAGAAACATCCACTATTTGACTACATGAATAAACGCGAAAATAATAATCTGTTCCAGGATATTTTTCTCCAACCAATAAATCAATTAGTCACACACAATTTCATAATACCTTTAATGACATACTTTTGTAACCGGATTGTGTTTTGATGTGTTTTAATGCTATTAAACGCGCGGTACTGAAGTATAACACCACGTTGCTGCTATATATGTTTTGTTAAATCAAATTCGTGTTTGATGATTCTCTAACTATATGCTTTGACGCAATCAATCTAAATAATTCACTGAAGACTGAAACATTTTCTATTTTCCTCCCTCCCTCCCTCGTTCGACCCCAGCGTTTTTTTTTTTTTTTTTCTTCTTTTTATCCAAACTGCTTGGTCAAAATGCATACCGCAGCCATCGTCATATTACGCTGACTTGGGGTGGCATTCCAGAGGAAATGTCGGCGAGGTAACAAGACATTTCCGCGGTTGTGGCTATTCACAACCTGCTGCTACTTGCTCCCGCTGCCCTGTCTTCCCAATCACGCCCTGCCAACCCCTTGCCCCCCTGGCGCTACTGTCCTCGCGTCGACAGCCTCGTCCTTGCCTGTCTATCCTCGAGTACCAGCGAATTCCGGCCCCGCTTCGACTAACCTTGATGCTTCCTACTCGAATCCCTCATACTTCCTTCTAAAATCCCTCATACTTCCTACTTACAAATCCCTCATACGACGCAAGCTCCCATAATAAGATATCCTTCACTACCCATCCCCCGCCCATACAAACCAACGACGCCCCTTGCCACCCACGGCGACGCTCGGAAATTCCTCGCAACGGAGCGTCCAAGCTGTCACATTCCGCAGCGGAATCGATCATTCGCTCCGTCCACGCCGCAGCCGCAGCCACCGCAGGGCTCGTCGGCGGTCGGATATTAGCGGAGGGGAGGGGAGGGGAAGGGCGGGGAGGGGAGGGGAAGAGGGGATGGGAGGGGAGGGAGGGGAGGAGCGGATCGCATTCTAGCCTGACAATAAAATCGATTCACCTTGGCAGTATTGGCTGACCATTTGGCCCCGGGTGGCTGGCGGTGCACGGACGTGATGCGCTTATGCCAGCTTCGGCCTTTTTGGAAGGGGGCGTGAGAGAGAGAGAGAGAGAGAGAGAGAGAGAGAGAGAGAGAGAGAGAGAGAGAGAGAGAGAGAGAGAGAGAGAGAGAGAGAGAGAGAGAGAGAGAGAGAGAGAGAGAGAGAGAGAGAGAGAAGAGAGAGAGAGAGAGAGAGAGAGAGAGAGAGAGAGAGAGAGAAGAGAAAGAGAGAGAGAGAGAGAGAGAGAGAGAGAGAGAGAGAGAGAGAGAGAGAGAGAGAGAGAGAGAGAGAGAGAGAGAGAGAGAGAGAGAGAGAAGAGAGAGAGAGAGAGAGAGAGACAAAGAGAAAGAGAAAGAGAGATAGAAAAAGAAAAAAAGAAAGAGAGAAAGAGAAAGAGACAACAAACAGACCAACAGGAGAACGCCCGCCCCAGGAGAGCCTTACCGATGACGGGCGACAGAGCGGCGTAGTTCTGCACGAGGTCCTGCAGCTTCTTGTTGTAGACGGCGATGCACTTCTCGGCCTCCTGCAGCTGGGTCTTCGAGCGCTCCAGTTCCTTCGTCAGCAGGGCGACCTCCTCGCGGGCTTGCCTCTCCAGCAGGATCGCCCCGCTCACGTTCTGCGAATGAAGGGCGCCCTCGCGTTAATGGACACAGGCAAAGCAGAGAGAGAGAGATCATACACACACAAACACACAAACCTTTTAACAAAACCCCCATCCAACCCCTCCCTCAAACCACAAAACACCACAAACAGGAAAGGAAAGAGAGACAGAGATGGAAAGAGAGAGAGAGAGAGAGAGAGAGAGAGAGAGAGAGAGAGAGAGAAGAGAGAGAGAGAGAGAGAGAGAGAGAGAGAGAGAGAGAGAGAAGAGAGAGAGAGAGAGAGAGAGAGAGAGAGAGAGAGAGAGAGAGAGAGAGAGAGAGAGAGAGAGAGAGAGAGAGAGAGAGAGAGAGAGAGAGAGAGAGAGAGAGAGAGAGAGAGAGAGAGAGAGCTGCGTGATGCCAATTATCCTGTAGGGGGCAGTCGGGATCAGGGTGAACACGCGATCTGAAAGAAGAGATGGATAAGAAAAAAAAAAAAAAAAAAAAAAAAAGAGCGACCACACACATTGAAGAGCTCTGCCACGTCCATCATCTTGCAGCAACAACAGCGCTCTTCCGTGTTGCAATCTGCGATAGCCTCGATTAACTATACTGCAATAATGATTATTTTAAAGAAAAAACGAAAGAAAAAAGAAAATACATACACAATCATATACATAAACACGTATATTACATACATGTGTATATATATCTAATATTTGTTTTATTGATAAATCTACCTATATATATTTACTTAACCTAACCTAACCTCACCTAACTCAACTAACCTAACCTTGCTCACCTAAACCCAACCTAACCAAACCCAACCTAAAACCTTACCTAACCTAACCAACCAAACCTAACCTAACCTACCAACCTAACCGAACTAAACCCTAAACCTAACCAACCCAACCCAACCTAACCCAAAACCTAACCTAACCTAAACCTAACCCAACCCAACCTAATCTAACCCAACCTAACCCTACCAACCCAACCCAACCCAACCTAACCGAACCTAAACTAACTTAAACCTAACCAACCAACCTAAACCTAACCCAACCCAACTAACCTAACCTAACCTAACCCAACTAACCTAACCTAACCTAACCAACCCAACCTAAACCCAACTTAACCTAACCTAACTTAACCAACTTAACTAAACCCAACCTAACCAAACCTAACCCAACCAACCTAACCAAACTTAACCTAACCTAACCCAACCTAACTTAACCTAACCCAACCTAACTAACCTAACCCAACAACCTAACCAACCTAACCCAACCTAACTAAACCTAACCCAAACCTAACCTAACCTAACCAACCTAACCCAACCTTAACCCAACTTAACCCAACCCAACCTAAACCAACTAACTAACCCAACTAACCTAACCTAACCCAACTAACCTAACCTAACCAACCTAACCCAACCTAACCAACCCCCAACCCAACCCAACCTAACCTAACCCAACTTAAAACCTAACCCAACCCTAACCTAACCCAAACCCAACCTAAACCTAACCCAACCCAACCTAACCTAACCCAACCCAACCCAACCTAACTAACCAACTAACCCAACCCAACTTAACTAACCCAACTAACCTAACCCAACTTAACTAAACCCAACTTACCTAACCCAACCCGCAAACTAAACCTAACCCCAACCAACCCAACCCTAACCCAAACCAACTTAACCCAACCCAACCTAACCCAACCAACCTAACCCAACCTAACCAAACCCAACCCAACCCTAACTAACCACCAACCCAAACCAACGCAACCAACCCAACCCAAACCTAACCCAACCCCAACCCAACCCAACCCAACCCAACCCAACCCACCCAACCCAACCCAACCCAACCTAACCCAACCTAACCCAACCCAACTAACCTAACCTAACCAACAACGACTACCGCTGTTACAATAATATGAACGATTATAATGAAATTAACGATGAAGATGATGGCAAAGATAACTGCAATAAGGAGACCAATATTACAATATTACACCAACATCAATAACAAATTTAATGGTAATAGAGAAAATAACAATGTTAATAATGGTAATAATAACAACAATAATAATATAACAATATGGAATCAACAAGAAACGAGGCACACGCAGCGAGGCGTGGAGCAGGTGACGCTTGTGAGGAGGAGGAGGAGGAGAGGAGGAGGAGGAGGAGGAAGGAGGAGGAGGAGGAGGAGGAGGAGGAGGAGAGGAGGAGGAGGAGGAGGGGGGGGGGGGAGGGGGAGTAGTAGAAGGAGGAGGAAGGAGGAAAGGAGGATTAGGATTAGGAAGAGGAGGACTAGAATGGAAGGAAGAGGGGGAGGAAGAAGAATGGAAGGAGAAAAGGGATATGAGGAGGAAAATGGAAGAAGGGAGGAGGAGGGAGAAGATGAGGAGAGAAGGAGGAGGAGAAGGTTACCTGGAAAAGTCAAGGGCGTGTGAAGTGGAGTGGAGGGGAGAGGAAATGAGTGAGATGAGATGAGAGTAGAAGAGAAAATAACACAGGGTAGAAGAGCACCGGGAG